ATAGCTATTACTTATTTGCAGATTATTAGTTGAATTATTGCGTGTATATTAAGAAACTAATTTGATGTTAAACAGATATGCTGTTAATTTATTATTTATGTTTTTTGAGTCAAACAGTAAAATATATATTTTTAGATAAATTGAAAAAAAAATTATATATAATGAATAATAGAAAAATAAAACACTTATAAATTGATTTTCATGCCAAATGCTGGAAAATATTAAATACAAACAAACTGAAAAAATGAAGCCAAGAACTAAGTGTTATAATTTTAGAATTAGTTGCTGGTTTTTCACATGTTTTCTAAATAAATGTAACTCATACCTTTTGTCTTCATATGCAGTTTAAAATTAGAGTAAGTGTTATTATTTTTAAGCTCACGTTCGGATACGTTAATCATAATCTTACATATTTCTATAGTAAAACGCCATTTTTTTCTCATTTCAAACCACAAAACCTTATAAAAGTAGCACCATTGTAGATTCTGTTGTGTAAATATTAGATTTAATGCAGGGTTTTTGCAGTCGCGAGCCCTTTTTATCACTGAGATTTTTTCGCGATCCCCATGACCCCCATAATTTACGAAAATTTTGTGGGACCCCCCATAATCATTGCGCAAATCCGACACACGCGTGTGTGAAACTGTCAATTTTTCACTTGTAATGTAGTATACTATTGCAGTTTTAAGTCATTAACTTTAAATTTAAGACATAGAACAATGTGAAAGTTTTTAATAAGTAACAGACGAAATGACAGCGTCATGTGCAAAGCAGGTAAAATGAACTTTTCTATTATATAAAGAATGCATCGAAATGTTTTCCTTTTTTCTTTGTCTGTATTGTCTTACCTTTATCTACTTTCAGGTACATTGTGTAAAAATATTTGGTAACTGTAAAATTATTATAATAAGTTAAAAAAAATATCAAAACTGCTAAATTTTTGGCGACCCCCTGCTGCAGGTCCCTCTATCCCCAGTGGTGTCACGACCCACAGTTTAAGAAACGCTGATTTAATTTGATTTTAAATACAGAGTTATTATCATTTGTTGGCGAGTTGTAGTTCTCAACACTTATCCCACTGTCAATAAATAAATAAATAAAAAAGTTTTCTGTAAGCCTGAGAGACCCAACTGTGAATATTTTTGAGTTGAATAAAAGGGAAATATAGTTCTTCTTTGGATTTGTTCTTGAAGCCTTAAAATTAAGCGATTAATAGCGACATCGAATAAGCGATCGAATAAGCGACATTAAGTATTCTAGCTGCTTAAAACTACCAATTTAGTTAGAATCTTATAAGGTAATTACTCCGATTTTCACCGATATTTTTGAAAACGAAGTATATCTAGTTATGGTGAATCTTTTACATACTACGCAAAGTCTAGTAATTTTGTCTCAAGATCATAAAGTATCAAGTTTCATCTATATTCACAATTGATTTGAAAAATTCAGCATTATAGTCTGCTCCATGGATCATATCATTTGCCCAGTTTTCCAGTTCAGGATCACAATATTCACTAAACTGAAGTAAACAGTTGATTGCATAAAAATATTATTCGCAAGAAAATGCAATAAATTTTAGGATATTTGGCCGTAAAATATTTTATTTAGAAAAACAAATCTATATATCATGGCAAATACTGCTGTCAATTAATGTTTGGAAGATTTGTTGGCATTATTCTTGAAAATGCGTTCCTAGACTCATGTATTTTTAAGAAGAGGTAGATGTATACCACTCGCAAAGAGGAAGAAATGAAAATTTTGTGAATGTTTACTCAAACTGTGTTTTATACACGGAGAAACGAATACTTAGATTTAAATAAAATCCTTTCTGAAATTATTTTCGAATGTAGAAAACGCGCAAGATCTCTCAACTACTAGAGGAAAATATTTTGATGAAGCCGAGTTAGCTGAGAACATTTTATTCATTCGAATATTTTATTTAGAAATGCATGTAACTGTTTTAAATTGAAGAATTATGCCAACATAAAATTGAAACTGAGTTAAAGATCAAAAGTTTTTCCATTTTAAAGAAAAAAATGTTTATTTCAGATCTTTAATAACAATAACTGAACTGCACTTACTAGGCATAAATATAACCTTACCTTTCAATAATAAATACCTTGAATGTTCTCACAAGGAAAATCTCCAAAAGTGATTAATATTTGTGAGACATAAATTTCTATACTAAATACTGCTGATAGTCACCTTCTCCAAGGAGACCATATTCTCTAAAGACTAGCACAGGTTGGAATCAGAGTGTTTGCTTAAAGGGTAGTATTTAAGTAAGTTGAAAAAGCGTAAGTAAAGATAATATATTTATTGTTTGATGTCTTCTTAAATCTATGCCGTAAGAAAGCACAGCTAAATTGCTTTCTACAATTCTGCATTAATATTTCTGAGTTATAATCTTCTCTGAAGATTTCTGAAGACAAGGGACAGAAAGTGAAGTCAATTTTCATGGGACATATAAAAGTAAAGGCTTTAACTTACCAACACAGGCAGAGACGTCTAGATTGATGCTGATGTCAACTATTATTCGATTTATGGTATATTGTCTTTAGCGAAGTATCCCACTTTCTCTCAGTGATGATGACCGCAGCCATCATATTTCGCATGATTGTCCGGGAAATCATCTCTTGGATTAAATGATCTCCTCCAGATGTGGTAGCATTGCTCTGACGACTCGCATGTTCATCAATATTTTCAGCAGTTTGTTGCACTGCCAATCATTTCAAGCTACCTAGATGCTATTTATGAAGAAGACAACGTTCGACTAATACTGCACGACGTTTGCAGTAAAAATTTCTGGAACTTAATTGACTGAACTCAATAAACTGAACATAATAGACTGATTCTTGCCTTCAAGGTATTAGACCTGTAATCAGTAATACATAGAAATAGGGACACCTTAGAAAATAATTACTATTTTCTTAGAAAGATGCTGGTTTGCCTAGTTTGAAGTTTTACATTGACGTTTCCTCTTCCTTTTGATAAGTGAATTAGTTCACATTCCGAAATTTGCGAAAAGAATTCCGCAGAGGAATATAAGCAACTCAATCGGAACCTTTTCCGCACCGAATGTAAGCTTATGTGTTTATTCGGAAAGTTTTTCAACTCATTAAATTCTAAATGTTTTATTCCCATTTATTAAAATATTATTATAAGTTTTTTTTTCTGTTTAGAAATCACAAATATTTGCATATTTGTTTCAAATCATGCTTATGTGTTCAGTTCGTAATCCTAACTAAATTGTTTATGGATATATATAGTTTTCTCTAAATAAACGTGTGAGTATATATTAGATACGCAATGGAAATTACGGAGTTTTTGAAGTTAAGGTAATAAACACTTTCAATACTGCTGGTAGTACTGCTGGTATACGGCTATCTAAAATCAAAATCAAACTTTCCATATGATCTTCATCAAATTTTAATAAATTAAATACTAGAACTTTCACATTAAGTGCAAATTTAAAGGCTCAGTTAAAACTTAATTACTATATCCATGATGCAAAGTATGAAACTTAACAACTACTTCCAGTTTATCCGGTACTGAAGTATTGATGTTAAAACACGTGTCTGTTTTAAAAATTGATCTCTAAATTTAATAGAAAATATCAGAATTTGTTTTCTAATGGATTGAAAAGTCATCTAGCAGAGCAAATGTGTTCCCCAAATCTCAAATTTTGGGAATAAAGATATCTAGACTTTTACATTCAGGTCTCTCCCTCCATGATCTGACATTTCTTCAAACGCAAAACCTCAGATCCATCTGTTATTAGCCGTTTTATCACCGAGAATGTTGTCCACAGAATAAGTAGAACGGAACCCGTGAAAGAAAGAAAAGGTACGTACTTTGTAGGGTTTCCCTTAGTTCATTTAACCTATTATTCAAATTTTCGTTATCTTTCCCGAACTCTTCAACTTCCCCTCGCATTTCCTCGCCAGGATATAAATTTAAAGTTGAGTATTTAACCGCGTGAATCTTGGAGTTTATTCAGAGTTTATTTATGTTTCGCTAGCCGACCTTGCTGTTACGCTGATAGGCCTTTTTGCCATTTGAATAATTACCACGCCTATTAGGTTGTCGAGTCAATCTAGTTTAGCCGTAACGTAAAGTGCTAGTCCAGCACTGCTATTTTATTTTTTGGATTTATTTATTGTGTTACAAATTCTTAGCTTCCACCGCAAGTTGTCGGTGTTACTGTAAAGCACGAAATCATGCCGCTCTGTTCATAGTTGAAAATAATAAAGGGGTATTTTCCCCCTTCTTCTGTGCTGATATTATTTCATGCATGTGACAAGTTCGCCAGGTTCATTAGTAGGATCTAGAATAGTTTATGTGGCCAGACAGAGTTAGATCCTATAACTTATGTAACCAAACCTTACGCGGGAGTCTAATTCTTAGCTTAATTTTGGCCGGGCTTCCTTAGCTTCCGCTAGTCATTATATCGTCTAATCCGACATGTTTAACTTAACAAAGGCTCTTTTATTCATATAAAATTCGATCTATGGGGACCATAGAAATTAATTTTAGGTTGCAGAAGCATTCTATCTGCAGAAGTGTTTCCCGATTCGAAAGAGGTTCTCAAAGCCCTCCCTATAGCGTCTAAATCCCTCCTTCATTTACAACGACAACAACAACGAAAAATATCTGAAAATTTTCAGACTTTACATTACCCCCAAATATTTTTTTAACCTTTTGTGGGTTACCTTTATTTATTAAATATCATGTTCTTCGTACTTAAACCATAAAATTCCTGCATGGCTGAGAGGCAAAGGGGAAGAGAGTGGTGAGAAAATAAAGGGGAGAATTGACGAGAAAAATAAAAGTTAGTAAAAAAGGAGTAAAGAATCATTAGCAATGTCAGTAAACTTAATTGTGAAGAGCTAGATGAGTGGGTGGACTTGAATCGGAAATTGAAGATGCTTCAATTTGGAGAAATTGAAGATGCTTCAATTTGGAGTGGGCAGAGGCTTGAATCAGACATCCAACTAGAATTAATCTTCAAATTCAGAGAAGGCTAACATAATTTGTGCTGCTTGCATTCCTAAGATTAATTTTTCTACTTGTGATTTAACAGTTCGCATTATCTGTACTATTAAAAAGATGTTTTGTATAAACTGAAGATTATTTGGGTTCTTGAAAACATCAAGGATAGGGTCAATATTTTTATCTTGGGTAGAATTTTTCTTGAGAGCTTCGCTGCAAGAAGAATACCTGATAGTAAAGCTTACTGATGGAATGTCCGTTATGAGGGTGGGAATGTTAACTTCAGTTTTTGAAGGTGCTGGATTTCTAAGTGCTTGTTTCCTTTTCATGTCAACAAGTCTTTTTTGAAATTCAGGGCATCCTGAGAATGAACTAACGTGGTTTTGTCCGCATAAAACGCACTTGAGTTGTTGACCTTCTTTAAGTTTACAAGTAGAGCTTCTGTGGGATTCTCCACATTTGCAGCACCTTTCATGATTAAAACATCTATATTGGATGTGCCCAAACTGCTGGCATTTATAGCATTGGGTTGGGCGGTTAACTTTAGGTTTGTATCGTTCAATAGAAACCTGGAAACTGCAGACATTATTCACATTAAAAATTGAATTTCGTTCCCTAGAGTTATCAAGTTTATAGAGGCCTTTTTTCCATTCCATTTTCCGTTTTCCTGGTAAATTGTTTCACTTTACGTATCGGAATTTTTCTGGTGGTAAGAATTTGAAAAATATGAGTTTTTTGAATTGTACTTGTTAAGTTTCTGATAATTGCTTTAACAGTTCGTTCATTTTCCATCTGATGTGAATGAAATTTGACGTTTTTCGATTCCAAAAATTGAGCTAGCTGACAATAATCTTGAACGGATTTAGGAAAGATGAAAATGTGTCCCCTACGTAGGTGAGCTTCAAACTCATTTACACATACTTTTGGAACGCATTTTCCAAGAAAATACAGTCTAAATTGCTATCAGAGAAACCAATCGAAGGAATTTTACTTGCTTGAGCAGTAGGATTAACATCAGTTATTACAGAGACGTTGTTATCAGTAAGAGAAGCAAACTTGTCACTTTGCGGGATTTCCTTAACTTCAGGTTCGTAAGTGAGTTTCTTGGCTGGATTTTTAGGTGATTTCCATTCCTTATTATCGTCACTCTGTCTATCAGAATTTCTTTTTTGTGCTTCAATAGCTTGGGATTTGGGATTTTTTTCTGTAGGTGTTCTGGATTCATGCTTGAGAATTCCTTACTAAGTTTCTGCATTCTCCTTTCAACTTCTTCATTCACATCAGCTAGAGAGGAACTTGACTCTGAAAAACGATTGGTTGTCAGCTTCCATTTCGTCGGAGTTAGACGTAAACAAAGGGATGGACGTCTTTCCAGATGCGTTACTAGCCATCTATTCAGAGGAAAAACGAGCGAATAAAGTGATTTATAGAGCAAGTAAAATTTACATCCGTCATCAGCATTGAATTCCGTTGGTTTTCTCTCAACTAACCTATAAAATTCAGTTCAACAGCAATATCGCAAAATAATTTTAAAATGAGATATCTTTAGAATTTCCGATACACATTTATTTAGAATTTCCGATACGATTCGCGCGCTGGAGATAATTTTTTTTTTTTTTTTTAACGTACCGAGTTGCTATTACTCGCTTCGAAAGCGTTGAGTTTGTTAATAAAATATTCATTAAAGGTTTACAAAACATGAAACAGATAATAAAATAAATCCCTAATTCGAAATTTGGGCTTCCAGATGCCCATATTCGGGTGGAAACATACATTATTCAAAATGTTATGACCCTAGGTACCGTCGTTTTATCACAATGCGAGAAACATACATGCGTTTATGTAGAATCTTCATTATTTAATTTCTTTAAATAATACAGGGCTGTAACATTTAGTGGCAAAAGTTTGAAAAGTGAACCGATATTTAAAGTTGTCCAACGCAAAATGCCAAACCGAAATTAATAGCCTTCTGGGCTAATGGGCTTAAGAAAAACACCTCAGATTATTTCCATATAGCAGCATACTAAAGATAAAACTCTCAAAGTTTGGAAAACAAACATGACAATTGTCTATCATTTTTTCACCCAAGACTGACATTTTATGAAATTTTCTATTGGTTTCTACGAATTTAAGGCACTAAGACTCCGACATTTCATACCGGCATATATCCAAACATAGAACTGCTATGGAAGAATCGGCAGGCTCATCCATCCTATTAATTTGAGTAACAATATTTATTTATTTTAATTCATAATGTAAAAATTATCCAAGCTCTATTAGACTCGAATTATTGAAAACAAATATAATTTTTTTCTGTTATCTTAATACTAAGATAAAACTAAACGAATTATAATTAACTGAATTTTAAAACTGTAAGTATACTTGTAGTAATATTTTCTAAAATTTCCTTTTGATGGGATGGTCTGAAGAATATTCAACCACTTTTATAAATCAAAATGTTGAGAAACTCTGATATAACGGCCACAGTTTCGAAAAATGCTGATCTACAGCATTAAAAGTATTTTCGTAACAATAAGCTTATTTTTGATATTTTATGGTTAAAAGTAAATGTCTAGGTACAATATTTAAGGAAATAAAGAATTTAAGGCACCTTTTTCTCCCCATCTTCCTCCATCTCAAAACTTATTTTACGAAAACCTGTATATTAAGTTCGTTTTTGTGCTTTGATTCACGAAGCGAGTGCAGTTCCATTTCCTTCCAAATTTTAAAATTTCCGTAGTCTGTATTTTGGTTTTTTTTTTGAGTCAAAGGGTATTTTTAGATGGAATCAAACTGCTACATTTTTCAATTTTTTTTCAAGTTAAAATTGACTTAAAGAAGTTATCTGCCGCCCCTATTTTCAAAAAAAAAAAAAAAAAAAAAAAAAAAAAAAAATGACGAAGAAAAGTTCCATTAACTGAAGTGCAACATAATAGTAGTCGTCGCTAGCGAAACCACCATCATTTCTTTTGAAGTATAAGGAAAGGTTTCATTTTTTTTAAAATATGGGAAGCTTCTCAAAGTATTTGGTTATTACATATCAAATCAGATATCTTATCCATATTTCAGTTGAGATGGAATAAACTGTGTGTAAACGGATAATGTATTTTTGGGAGTAATTCTTTATGATTTGGTATACATACATTAGATTTTGAAACAAGATACACATGTGTCAGTCTAAAGGTTCACTTGCGAATATAATTATTTATGGACGATAGAAATAGATGGATTTCATGTCAAAATGAAAGAATTCTGTTATTTTAAAACTTCGTTCCTGAAAGCAGCTTCATGGAAAAAATTCAGACATCAAGAATAATGAATGCGTTCAGGTATATTTATTAGATAAAGGACCAGCTCCTTTTAAAGAGACTCCTTCATAGAAATCTTTTTAAAGAAAATTCAATCATATTCATTACAGACACTGGATAAAAAAGAAACTTAAATGCAGTGGTAACTAAATAGCACTGAGAATAAACTACTGTGTTATTTATCAGCATAGCATACATTGGACCTTTCTGGGCATTTTGTAGCGAAAGAAAATATTGGTGAGTTTGATGACCAGCCTCACAGTTTTGCGTAATCGATCCATTCAGTGTAGTTTATGACTTTATGACGTGGTTTAGACTTGAACTCTCGTGGACGAATTTTGACTCAAAAGCGAACGTAATCACAGAAGTTCATTAAATAATCCAAAAGATATATAGTCTAATTTAAAAGTAAAAAATCTACTAAACTAATTTAAAAGTATTTAGTTTATTGTCTGCTAATAAAAATTAAAATAATAACCTAAATTCTTCTATAATCAACAGGGATTAGACATTATTTATAGTCGGGTGACTGATAACGTACTGTAAGCCACGTTCGTTGTCCTTCCTGTTCTAGGGTCTAGTATCCAAAACAAACTTTCATCTTCTTTACCTCTACAGGTGATTATTAAAATTTGACTAACAATTCTGACTGCGTAATAACTTAGATTTCTGTCCCTAAACCTAGATCAAAACTAAACATCTAGTGCTAGAGAATACTTGATACTAGAGAATTCTATACATGTGATGCTAATCTCATATACAACTTCTAGGTGGTGCTAGCTGACAACTGTTAATTCATAAAAAATCTGATGCTACAGATATGGATTACTTATAAGACCCCAGACGAAGCTTTAAAAAGCTATATAAGAAGATTAAGCATCTGAAGAGTTACGACTTTGACAAGAAAGCAGGTGAAACTACGAGAACAGTTAAGAAAATAAGGTAAATATAGGATGGATGACCATTGTCTCCTGTACCACAAGCTTGCCGGTGAGACCGAAAGCGATGAGAGAGAAAAGTCTCGCCAAGCAAGAAAATAAGTAAACTTCAGCAAATCAAGCTAGATCATGAAATTTTGTCTAAGTATACGGGTAGCAAATAGTCTGATCATATTGGCTTCTGAAATGATTTGCTAATTAAGGATCTCTGAAAAACATACAGCATCATGGTTTAGAGTTGAAGAAACGCTTATTAAGTTTAAGAGTGAGGTATTTATTATGTTACGTTTTTCTTTTTGTTCTGACACCAGTTGTTACGTTATTTTCTTCCTTCACGTTCGTACGGGGTTCGTGTGGATTTGGAGTGAGTAACGACGACACTTGATGAAGTATCGAAACACAGCCTTCAGGTTATCAGGCTATCAAGGTGGAGACAGCTTCCTGAAAAGCACCCGACTCTGCTTGGTCGTTCTCGGAACTCCACGTACTCTCGAGACTCTCCACGCTACAACTTGCGATGCACTCGACGACACACAGAGCACGGCTCCCGACTCTTCGGTTCAGTCGTTCTCGGAGCTCAACACGCTCTCTCGACGATGCACTAATCGCGATACACTAACAGACTCCTTCGGTGCACTCGACGGCCCACTCGGCATTCGCTGCCCTGCTGTCAACTCGATCGACTCCGCAGGGATTGACTCGCTAGACGAGGCACACACACACGATGAGAGACGCACACTAACTGACTGCGGACCAGCAGGGTTTATATAGCTTTCCGCTTGTGTTCGAGAACATTCTGGGCTAAACCGGTAAGAATTCGTTCCAGAAGGTTCTCCAACCGTCCATGGTATATCGCCAATCTTGTCGCCAAATGTCGCTAAATGGGCGATTTCTCACCAAAGGCGGCAAACCTGCCTTCCCTTTCCCTTTTTTATGATAACCCTAAAACTGCTTTGCGGGGAAGCCATCTTACCGCGCCTGTACATTTCGTAACAATAACAACGAAGTCTACTGCAGATTCGGTTTACATGGGATCATGGATCAGTTTATTTATAATCAGTTAATGAGTACAGTTCTTCTCAAACTCTGAAGTTTTATGGAAACATTTATTTGAGACTGAGACCCTGGCTCAGATGGAGGAGTTTTATGATGTCATAAGTAGTAATCAAATTTACAGACTTACGAAACGGTTTAAAGAGAATGCTTGTTATTATTGCAATAAATATTTTACGTTATTATGTCGGTGAGACATCTTTATAAGTGCTAAAATTTCTCGCTTTGCGCCGCAGTTACCTGAAGCCAGAAAGAATTGAAAAAGCTGGTCTCAAATCTGTAATTTGTAACTTTGCTATGAGAATAATTTTTACTAAACTATACGCAACTTCAAAACATTCTGTTTATTATTTTCTA